GCTGCCTATCGGGCCACGACCAGAACCCAAAATACTCCACCAGAGCCAGGCGGTGACGGGGGCCTTTACTTTTTGTGGATATCGTATCCTGGATTCCAGTCAGCGCAGTAAACAGAAGTCAGCTTACTGCCTCTAAAAATTTAATTTCTTAAAAAATGTTGGGCATAAACAGCTGATGTATCAATCGTGTTTCAGAGACGTCTGGATGAAATATTAAAAATTCCAACTACCACACGACCAACGCCACAAAGAAAACGAAGAATAAACACAAGGAACATTGCCATGGTGATAGATGCTGGAAATGAAAGACGTTTGAAAGAAGCATGTAGAAAATGGTATTCTTTTTTATCACTGCAATTTTGCACTGGTATGTAACTGAATATGAACAGCGTTGAAAATTTAAAAAGGCGACGTAAGAGAACGCTTTACAGTCGCAGTTGCGGAGTCGTAACATCTATCAGCGAAATGCAAATATCTTTCAAAATGTTGATTTTTCGGTCAGTCCATAACATTCTTCAAAACGTTGGCCTTTTGCAGGCCAGTTTTGTGGACCACACCTCAAGCTAACATCATGGCATCGGAAGCTCGGCCACCGTATGCTAGTGCGATAGCGCAACATCAACTGCCCAGAACTGGACTGCATCAAAATTGTATGGCAGCGCAGCCTGGACCATCCCAATTCGATATGGCACCGATGCCTGCACCATTTGGAAACAACGTGATACCAGCGCCTGAACCACCTGCAGTCAATTTGGCACCAGTGCCGGGACAATTTGGAGTTGGCATATCTGCACTGCCTGGCCTATCTGTGTTCGACATACCACCGATATTCAGATTACGTGAATTCGTCAGCATGACACCGATGCGTGAAGCGCCTGAACCGCCGGCGCAGATCCCAGCAGCAACGATACCAAAGGATAGGCAGTCCGTCGATGATAGGGTATGTCAACCAACTACATCTAACATGGCATCGTTGCCTGGGCCATCCTGGATGGATATGGTACCGATACACGCACTACTTGGATTTGATATGCGATCGATGCCGGGAGCATGCAGATTTGATGTGCCAGCACAACCAAGGCCATCAGAAGTCGGTATGCCATCAATGCTTGGAAGATCTAGAACAGACATGGAACAGAATCCTGGACAACCTAAAGTCTGCAGCGAGTTGACACCAAGTCCATATAGAGTTTCGATTCCCGGGTCATCTTGCATCAATACGGAATCAGTGTTCGAACCACCAGGAGTTAACATGGCACCAGTGCATGGATCATACCGAGCGGCAAGTTCATCTGGAATTAATGTACCACCAGCGTCTATCCTATATGGAACAGATACACCGTTTATGCCTGTATCACTACCGGCATCCTCCTGCAGTAACGAAGAACCGACATCTACAGCAAAATACCAACGACCGACATTTCATTTGTTTCGGTTTTTACCACGTAGACTGTACATGGAAAGAATTCTTGAAATAATTGGTCCACTAAAAAAATCCAGAACACAGCCGAAAGCAAACTTTAGATGTTGGTATTGCGGCAAGCAGTATGTGTCACATGATGATTCCGAAACGCATCTTTTCAGTACGCATTCCGACGAGCTTTTCCCGAAGAACGTCTCCAAACAATTACAGCACGGTGACAATGCGCGAGATTAGTAAGCTTTACACTGATCCAGTCCTTCTGGTTGAGCTCATTCAAAAAACAAGAACATAGCTTGATGCGGGAAGTTATGTTCCTTTTGCTCCATTGCCTTTATTATACGTTTTGTGCTGTGTAACAGCAGTACAAAACGCATACTGTCACGGGGTTGTCTGTGTGTGTTTGTGTGTGTGTGTGTGTCCGCAGCAATTTGTCCGCAACTTTCAACTCGGGAACCAAAAAAGCTAGGAAGCCGAAAATTTAGGGGAACGTCCCTCAACCACGTGTGACCGTGCAAATTTAAATTCAGCTTCCCTGTAACAGCGGGTAATGTATACGGCCCCGTGAAAATTTTTTACGGGTAAGTTAATATCTCGGGAACCACGGAGTCTAGGAGGCCGAAATTTTAGAGTAATGGCTCTCTGCCCACGCTCAATCTTGTCCATTCAAATTCAGCCTTTCCATACCTGCGGATAACACGTACGGCCCCGTGAGATTTTTTTACGGGTAAGTTAATATTTCGGGAACCACGGAGTCTAGGAGGCTGAAATTTTACGGCAATGACCCCTTGCCCCCGCTCAACCTTGCCCATTCAAATTTAGCGTTCTCGCACTTTCGGGTACCACCTACGGGCTAGTGAAAGTTTTTACGGGTAAATTATTTTCTCTGGAACCACGGAAAGATATTCACCCTTCAATCAAGGTTTCGAATTCAGGTTTCATGCGCTGATGCGTGAAATTTTTAACTGTTTTCCAATGTTTGAACTATTTTTGCACAGACTA